ACTGAGGGAGGGCAAAGGCGAGTGTGTGGGCGTCAAGATCTGCGAGTGCGGCCGCGAGTCGGCCATGTTGGGCGATCCGGGCCGGCTGCCAGCGGGGGAGCCGGGGAACGAGGAGCCCGGGTTGCGCTGGAGGGTGAAGAGGAAGAGACGGCCAGGGATCTGCCAAAAGGCGCGACGGGACACAAACATCTGGGTCCACTCGTCGCCATTGTCGTCGATGCTCGTGCCGACGGCCGAGTTCATGTTGGCGATGAGGCCCATACGCTCGAGCTTGGGGATGAGGTTGCGGCCGCGAAAGACGCCATCCCGCTTGACATTGATGCGCCATTCGCCCTTGGGCCTCGCGCCCTCGGGTGTGTGCTTCGACGCCTCGGTCGTGAGGTACGGCTGGGGCTCGGGCTGGTGGAAGTACCAGTACAGGGTGACCCAAAGCATCATGGCGATTTGCCTTGTCGGACTCGCGGCAGGCTTGAAGTCGCTGCTCGAAGGGTTCGAGATGGAGGAGATGAAGAGGTTGTCATTCTGCAAGGTAGGCTTCTTCCAGGCGTGAATGCGGCGCCTGCGGATTTGCTCGTCTTCGTCATCAGGATCGGCCGTCTCGCCAGGCGCGAGGTCATCTTCGGTGTTGAGCACGACGGTCCATCCGATGGGAAAGGCATTGTGGTGTGTATTCCGCTCGTGGGACTTGAAGAAGAGGCCAGAGAAGACCGGGGTGACGGTAAAGTTCTGGCCGTCCGGCAGATGAAGCATGGTTGGAGGGGCCATGGCTCGGGTTTGACGACGGTATATTTGACGCGTGTGCTCGGTGCGTGGTGGCGGGTGCCGGGATGTCGGGGTGTCGGCTTCGGGTTCGAGATCGGTGACGGGCGCTCGGTCGCTGGCGGGAGCTCGGTCGGGACCCGGCGCTCGTTCGGTGGGGGAAGAGGGGGGGATGGAGAGGAGGGGGGCCTGATGGCGGGGTCGACCAGATCGAGAGAGGAGCTGTGGGCAGCAAGGAGCAAGCAAACGAGCTCGCCTTGAACTGGGGATGGACGGATGGACCTTGGAGGATTTCGAGACCTAAATAGCACTAAGGGGGGTGATGCTCGGAGGGGAGACCAGCTCGGCTCAAGGCCATTGAAGGCCGAGAGGCATGTAGAATGATTCCAGGAAGCTCTCTAGACGGACCACTGGCGATCAGTCCATCTCGTGATGGGGAGATTCTGACAAACGGGGAGATGGTGGTTGGAGGAGAGAGATGATAGAGGGGCAGAGGGCAGAGGGCAGAGGGGCAGGAGAAAGATGGGGGCAGCTAGGTCGAGCTGCATGCGTGAGCAACATGGGAATGTTTGGCTGCCTTGCCCCAACGGGGCTCTGACAGGCAGGCGCGAAGCGAGCGCAAGTGGACTGATTGCTGGTGGTGGTTGCCCGCTGCGTGCTGCTGTGTGCTGCCGTGTGCTGTGCTGTTGGTGTCTGCTTCCGTGTCTGCTTCAGTGAACCCCGCCTTCAACGTGGGTGGCTCCTACCTCTTTGGCACAGACCCAGGCTGGAAGCTAGGCGCCTAAGGAAAGGGTCTCCCTGAGCTTTACTCGTCGCATCATGATAACCGCCACTCTTGACATTTATCACTCTACGATTTGCAGCATTGAGACAAGACCATACCTACCAAACAGCCCACAGTCCAACTTGGTTACTGGCAGATCACTTCTCATCTTCGAGTTGAGTCGAGTCACCAAGAGCCGAATAACATCATGTAAAACATCATGCGCAATAAAACAGCACCTATGTATGCGTCTACGTGTCCATGTGATCAAATGCCGACGCCGCGCTCAAACCAGGAAGGATCACAATGCTTTGGTCCCCTACTCGTACAGCCCAACCGCCTCTTGCGAGCCCACTACGCGAAAGCGGTGCGCCAGATGCCGTGCACCTGTCTCGCCTGTTCCAAGACAGGGAAAAGGAACGACGAGCGGCAGCACAGCAACGGGATCAGTCCCGCTCGCCTTGCTTTTCCTTGCCGTTGGTGCCGCTCTTCTCACCAGACCGCTTCGGCTGGCGCTCAGCATCGTCTTCGTCGTCATCCTCGTCTTCCTCCTCGTCTTCTTTCTTGCCGCTGTTCTTCTTCTTCTTCTTCTTCTCCTTCTCCTCCTCGAGCACCTCCTTGACCTCCTCCCCACCCAGGTCCACCATCTCATCCCAGTCGACGTCGTATTCGTTGGCCACCATCTTGATCTCGCGGCGCAGCGCATTGGCCTCGTCCACGAGCCCCTCCCACTTCTCGTAGTTGAACCCGCGCGCCGCGTACAGTGCCTCCTGCCGCTTCGACAGCGTGACCTTCATCGCCGCCTTGTAGCTCAGCTCCCGGCTGACGTAGAGGAACCACATGTAGCCGCCCATGATGGTCGTCAGACCCACGAGGTACGTGACGGGCTCGACGAGGTCCCAACCGGCGTCCGTGTGGAACGTCACGTAGTAGACGGTCCCCCACCAACCGAGCAGCATGGCGAAGCCGCCCTGCGCGATCCGGTGCACCGCCTTGTGCGCCAGCTCGTCGCAGTCCTGCTTGATCTTGGCCTGCGACTCGACGCGCCGCGACATCTTGCGCAGCCGTACCCGCATGTAGTACGTCCGGTCGTTGAAGCTCGGCACCGCCACCCGCAGCTCCTTGTCGTACCCTTCAATGGCGACGGCGAACTCGCGCCCGCGCGCCGCGTCGCGGATAAAGTCGCCAATCTCTGTGCTGCTGCTCCATTTGACCCAGTTCGCCTCCGAAGACGCGCGCTCGGGCCCGTCGTGACCGAGGCCCGAGTACGACGACACGTTGCCTTTTTCTGGCTTCTTCGTCGCGTTGATCTGTCCCTTTTTCGTCTTCTTCGACGGCTTCTTCGTCGTGCTCTCGTCCTCGCCGAGGTCTGCTTCAGCGCGGAACGAAATGGCGGGAGGACGCTGCACGTTGCCGTCGATGATGGGAGGGACTTCAGCCTGCAGAAGACGCTCAATGTACGAGAGCGGCTGGTGTGGGTGTATGAGCAGGGCGAGCGGCTGGATCTCCTCGTGCTCCTCCCTCGCGAGGGCAGCCTCGGATTTGTCTTCGTCATTGAGGGTTCGGTCTGCCTTGTCGGCGTGCAGAGGGAGGGGCAGGATGAGCTTCAGGAGCCGCGTCGGCGTAGTGAGCAGTCGCCCTGGAAGGAGTCAGTATTTCGTGAAGCATGATCACCGAGCTCCTCCCTGTTGGCTCACCTCGAGTCTTGTCGCCGTGCGTTGGGTCAGGCGACGAGCTCGGCGGCTCCGCTTCGCTGCCAGCCCTGTGCCACGGGCGATGAGCCTGTTTTCGTCGGGCGAACTCTTCGCTAAACTCCTGTTCCTCCTCGTGAACAGCCTTGTGGCTCAAGTCCTTGGCCTTGGCGGCTGGGTCTGGTTCGATGCCCTGGGCCTGCAGGGCGCGGCAGACAGAGAACGCGCGGCCATTGTCTTGGTATCGTGCGTCCCGGGAAACCGGAACAGCTGGGCGGAAGGATGTTGCTGATCCTACCAACGGCAGCGACCGTCGGCAAGTGGCTGTCAGGGACGTCGTAGATCGGATGTCAGGCCATCTGCAGCAGACGCGACGAAGTGCCACGCTCATTTCGTCGTCGATTCGATGGAGAGTGCGTGTCTTGTGCAGTTGCAGCTCGATCTTGTCTGTCTGCTGCTCTAGTCAGGTCCTGTCCGCAGAGGGAGACCAATGCCCAGACACACCGTCAAATAGTAGTGATTTGGGCCTGGCAGCTTGTCGCGTGCATGCGCCGCCGTCATGACGTCAACCCCAAGCAGTGCATCACGTGAATCCGGAGATGCAGCTCCTTGCCGCAGGTCGAGCTGTCAAACTTGGCTTCCGCTCGCGTGCCAAGCAAAAGCCATTCGACACGCGACCCGGAAAAAGTCCGCCGACTGCGGTTCCTGGGGCCTCGATCGAGGCTGTGTAATGTCCGTTACCCTGTTTTTGCCATGGGTTTCGGAGTCTGGCCGCTCGAATGACGATGATCGGTCGATGTCAGTTCCAACAAACAAGCTCCGAAGCTGGCGACAACGATCATGCCCCGGAACAAAGATTTGTAGACCTTCACAACTGAATATCTAGGTATCGCCGAAATCAATCCCCTAATACTGCATATAAGCGCTCGCTCTCTTCACAAACAGGGGGCGGACCTTGTCATGCACCTCGATGCACCTCATGATAGCTGCGCTCTGATGCGCAAGAAGGCTAATCGTATCCTTTTGCAGATCTAGTTTGGCATCTTATCGTCGAGCAGTCCATCTCGTACGCGCGCTGAACCCTGCAGGCTGCCGGCACAGCGATGCACAGCTACACATCGGCGACGCGACGCACTTCGTCCAGCATACCTGACGTACGTTTCATAGAGAGCCCGAAACCACGTAACGCTTTGCATCTAGCCAGTTTAATCAGATTCAACGGCCAGAGTAGGGTCAGAACACATGGACTGTCCCCTCTTTCGCATCGGATGAAAGCGAAGCTTGTACGTTTCCCACCCAGATGATTGAAGGGTGCGTCAACCAGCAGCACAGAAAAAAGAACTTCGGCCACAGGTGGGGCGAACGTCACGTATCAAAATGGAAGCTCGTCAAGGCACTGTGTTTTTTGGTGGGTTCGTCATTGAGCGCAACGTGCAGATATCCAAGAGCCGCCGGTGGGTGTACGCAGTGTCAAAGTACACCAAGCCAGACGCTCCTCTCTTTACGTCTACACACCCTTTCCAGCACCCAGTTTTCGGTCCCATAAATCGCCGTTCTAATTGTTCCCAATATTAGCAAATCCGGTCTCGGTCATGTCACCGTCCCGAATCCCACGGTGACTTACACTGCGTCTGCACGTAAATGTCCGAAGAGCCGCTGCTTTGGTACCCCTCCGTTGCGACAATCTGGTAGTAGTGCGAGCCGAGGTTCATGCCGAACTGCGCCCACGCGTTGAAGTGGTTCTGCATAGTGACGGCGCCGCCGACGCGCTTGGAGGTGCGTACGGACCAGTACTGCTGGAAGGTCCGCGTGCCGTCGATGGAGGGTTGGTTGGTGCGCGTCGAGACGTAGACGTTGTAGGTGCCGCCGTCGGTCGTGACGGTGCCCTTAAGCTGGCCGCCGCTGCCGGGGTTGTACGTGCCGTAAGACTCGACGACGTAGTACTCGATCAGGGGGTTGCGGGTCCAGCCGTAGACGGCGAGGTAGCCGTTGCCTTGCGGGCTGAACGAACCTCCATAGTTGATGGTGCTGGCAGAGCAGGTCAGTCACAGCGTCGTGGTCTGGAGGAGGGTGAGTGGTTTGACTGCGTACCGGCCTGTGCCGGGGTTCCAACCCTTGCCGCCGACAAAGTTGCCTGTGTCCTTCCACGTCACCGAGTATCGGCTTCCCGCGCCCATAGTGTACGTCACTTGGCCGCCGCCATCACTCCACCAGGAGTAGAAGTAACCGTTGTGGGTGCCCTCCGAATTGGCCGTCACCTGGCGTCTCTCAAGGAGCTCGCCAGCGTCCGTGATGTTGACATCAGGTCCGTCGAAGTTGTCGAAAGGACGGCCAAGTACGGCGGTCAAGGCCGAAGCGGCAAGAAGAAGAGACTTAAACGTGACCATGGTTGAAAGCAAGCAGTGTGTGCTATAGATCTAGCGTAATACTATGCTTGAGTGTTTCCAACAACGTGGTGATGAAGTCTTGTTTGCCCTTTTATACACCCGAGTCCCATGTGTCGCGACTCACGTAGAACTTCCACAGCCCTCGGCTTAGTACACCCTCAGAGGAGCTAGTACCCCGAACTACCCCATATTCGCGGAGAAGCAATATAGGCTGTTTTCCAACACTTCAAAAACAAGCTTAGTGCCCCGTCCCGTGCCCTGTCACGCGATTGTAAACCAAGTGCCATCAGTGCCGACGGCAAGGGGAAAACAGCAAGTAGCATGGTGATCGCCCATGCATGTGTCGGCATGCACTGACAAACGCGATGCGACCCGGATTCTGCCAGACCAATCGATCCATACCCCGGACTCCGGCTAAAGTCCTCCAAGCACACCATGCAAGCACTCCACCGGTAGTTACCCTATACCGCGATGCTCATCCCTATATTTCGTCGGACCTTTTGTCTCATGTAGCGATCTGTGTAGGGTAACATGAGGCCCAGAGGTTGTCATGAAGCTAAGTCAAGTTCACATCTTCCGGGCAACCCCTCTTTTGTGGTACAATGTTTATCAATCTGATGCTAGGGATATTTAACGGCGAGACGATCTGGTCTGTTCTTTTCCCAGTCCATTTCCCCCTTAATTAGGAAATCAGATCGGCCCAATGGAAAAAAAAAAACAAGGCTAATCCGGGCGGCTCGCGCCGCGGGAAAGGATGGAGTTTCGGCCGAACGGTGACTTGTGCACAAGGCCGGGTACCAGCAGAATATGACACACCGTGGGCCAAAACTAGAACCAGCTCGAGGTGGGGCCCGGATCATCGACAGCCTGGTCGACACAAGCGGGAAGGACGTGTTCAACAGAGAATACTGGAGCTCGGTCTGATGATTGCTTTAGAAACGTTTACAAAATCAATGAAACCAAAAATATCACATCGCTCGCGCGGATATATGTTGCTCGTTACCTGTGTCCATGTCCTGGCACCACTTCGTCTGCGGTCTTTGCCATTACCAAGCCTCCCACATCTGCGATCCCATAGCAACAAGCCTATTAAATAGTTCATCTCTGGTCTCAATGGCAGTAAGATGATACTCGTTGCCAATGTCATCCTTAATGAGAAGTGAGTCTGCAACTTCACGGTTGGTCGCCCATCCAACCACAATCTTAGACTTCCAGCCCAGACCGCCAAGCTTCTGAATTTCCTGTACGGGATTCCACGTCAGCATCTTGTACGCACGTTGAACAAGACGGCTAAACAAGGACGTACCGCAATCTCTCCGACTGTCACGCTCCACTTCGGATGCGCATCTTCCTTCTCTGACGTCCAGCTCAGAGCAGGCGTCGTTGCCGTAGCTGTGATGTATGCGTGACCGCGCTTTCCACCATAGCGTGCTGGGAAGCGCACGGGTCCTTTGGCCGGATCAGGCTGATCAACCTTTTTTACGACGCCGAGCCTGTCCTTGGCGTGGTGACTGCCAACTTTTGCCTTGACCTTATTAGCAGTGAGGGTTGTGTTGATGCCGCCCTTGGCTGTTGACTTGATGAAGTTGACGATGCGGTGCCCTTTCTTTTGCTTCTTTTCGGGCGTCTCTGACTCGGCAGGCGCAAGGAGCTCCTCGTCGGGCTGCACGGCTTCGTCGATCTCTTCTTGGTCTACGCCTTGGAGCAATGTTAGGACTGATGGGTTCATACGCTGTCATGATGACCGACCTAAATGTTCGAGACCTTCGCCGGCAGTCTCGTGCGGCTGATCGGCGGGAGCTTGGTCGGAATGCGGCGGAGGGGGTAGGGGTGCCTTGTTGCGTTCACCGATACGGAGGAGGGTGATGGTAAGCTGAGCGTTCGTGGGGATGCCCTTGAGAAGTGTGTTGCGCAATTCAATGTACTTCTGCCAATCTGGCACCTTTCTTTCGACAAAAGCAATGCCACGCTGGATGACCGGGTCCCCGAAGAAGCTGAAGCCAACGATAAAGCCGAAGCCCTTCGCCGCCATGTGAGGAGTCACGAGCAAAGAGGCAAAGAAAAGGGGCAACAAGACGCTGGCGAGAATCAGACGCGGCCTGTGTGTGTGGAATGGCGCTGTAGGACTAAGCGCGTTGCCGAATCTCTCGTATGTATCGACGAACTAAAAACCCAATCAGGCTAAATGGTGATGGTGGTTTAGCAAGACACTTACATCGGCAATACCATGCATCACAGGTCTCGCCTTGTCCCAGACGTTGCGGGTTACAGGTTTCTTCGTCTTGTCGTGAGTGCCCGGCTTTTCGCCGCCTGTCTTATCCTTGGCGTCAACGATATCTTCAGCAACGTCAGCCGGGTCCGGGGCAGCTTCGAGGTTCGCGTCCATGGAGGAGTTTTGGGGAGGATCGCCTTGAGGTTGCTTCCCCGCTGCCGTGGAAACGACGAGCGAGGAGATGCTAGTGACGAAGCTGTGAGCTTCTTTCTCAACCGCCTCGCCTTGGAACTGCTGAGGGGCACCGGTGACGGAGTCGTCGGAGGCGAGTAGGCCTGCCGACGGCGTCTTGACGCCACCAGTAGAACTGTCGATGAGGGATGGAGGTGCCGGTGGGAAGCAGAAGCTCCTCGCTGGTGTGTAAAGAATTAGAGTACCCAGGAAGATAAGGACTGTTGGAAGAAGGATATTGAAGAGCCAGGCGACAACGTAGACGACCAGGAAGGCAGATGTGCGCCGGTACTCGCGCCACGATCGCAGGCGAACGATCTGTTTCCAGAAAGCAAAAAGGCCAACGAGTACCGTCATGTACAGTCGTTCAATGTGAGAGCGCAACTTATCGGGAGAAAATTCCTCCTCGTCGGCAATATTCAGATCCAACTCAGCCAACGGTGCCTCTGGGATAGCCTTGACGTGAAACAGCTGTTTGTCAAAGCGGCGGACCAGAACCCAGAGCTCTTCATTTGACAGGCCACCGACTAGAGGACTAGGGACGTTGTTTGTGTTTTCCGTGTTCCAGCCAAGATTCTTCACTTCGACCTCTCCATGATTGATCTCGGCGTATCCTTTCTCTTCAAGGGGTCTGTTGGCGGCTTGGTCTGCAAGTTCGTGGCTCACGGTGGGAGCATCGTTGGCGTGGGCATCAACATGCTCAGGCCCATCGTCGGAAATCATGGCGCGAGGCTGCTGGGGACGGCGTGTGCCTAAAGACGACTGGTCGCCCGTTCCGGTACGAGTCGCATCGTCCATACTTGGTTCCATCGCGGGATCCTGATTCAGGACCCGAACAGATTCTCCTCCTGGCGCGAGAGCTGGATCCTCACAACTGGAAATGGTGGCATTCTGCTCACTGGCAGGCTGTGAGTTCAGAGCCTGCTGCTCAGGCAAAACGCCGGCCTCGCGCTGACGTTCGTGGCCTTTGAACATGGCGTCAAGGGCCTCTCGTCGTGAGTGCTGAATCAGTGTGATGGCAATGGCTGGCAGGCAGACAGAGGCGACGAGACGGGGAACATATGAAGTAGGTATCTCAAAAGAAATCTACACGTCGTACCTGCCTGTCAAACAGAAGGCAGGCGCCCCCTACGTCAAAAAGTGGTCGCCGCATTGGGAAATTCCTCATGACGTCAGGCGCACTTCATTGGCTGTAGGACCCAGGACACAGCTTCCCTGGGACGCGGAGCGGCAAGGGAGCCAAGAGCTACCCCATCACGCACCTGCCACCAGCACACAAACAGCAGTCTGTGATCGACTCTGGGATTACGCGGCTGTATCGATTCCCATCGGCCGTTTCGATGGAATGGATCTGGCTTGGCTGTATCTTGTTGACGACGGTATCGACAGCATCCATCCAGAATGTCAGCGACATGTGTGGATGAGACAGATTTCGGTGGAGAATTGAGAAGACGATCACCACTGATGCGATCTGCTCCCCACGACACTATCGATTTCCGCCGGAGGACCGCTCCGGAACAGCATCATCACAGCTGCCATCTGCACTACACCAGCATGCAAAGCACATATTCTGCCTTGATCCAAGTATGTGACAGCTGAATTCGAACGCCGCTGACTCTCTGACTCCCGCTAGTACCCCGCCCACCATGTGTAGTTGTTGGTGTCCTCAGGGGAGTCCCACACAAGCTGCACGCTCGAATCGGACGGCCTGTCGGGCCAGGCATTCGAAAGTCCCTTCCATACCTGAACGTTGCTCCACGAAGCCTGTACAACATCTGCGCTCTCATTTTCATCCTCCTCTGCCGAGTGCTTGCATCCACCACCAGCCTCCTTGTTCTCCCAGCTTCCCGCGAAGAAGCTGATGCCAGTACTGTCGCTACGCGAGGGGTACATGCGTGCCGTCATGGCAAACCGCTCGTTGATCCAGACCTCGAGGAGCGAGCCATCAACAACAACGTGGAAGTTGACGTCTTCGGTCGTCGTTTTGTTGCTACCAGTCTCCCTGAACTCATACGCCTCAAAGTGGCCTACAAATGTGCGGTTCCCGAAGTGAGGCAAAAGACTGCTATGGTCGCGGTTGATGCCAATCTGCTTGGTCTCGGGGTCGAGGTAAATGACGGTGTACTCGGCATGATCCGGGCTCTGGGCAACCAGAATACCTGCCGTGCCATTGAAGTTGCTGAGCGTCGCCTTAAGCTCATACGATGATCCGGCATGGGTCACCGCGCGGTGGTGGGTGCTGTGAAGCTCGCCTACCTCAAAGTCGTGGGCCTCGCTGCCGTTGCGCATCAAGTCGAGGACGTCGGGAAGAGGTCGGAGGCCGAGCGTCTCCGCTGTGAACCTGCCATCCTTTTGCTTGACACAGAGGTTGCCGTCGGGCTGGACATCGCAGTTCAGGACGTTCTTGGTCTCCTTGACAAACAGCTCAGTCGGCAGCGTCATGACGCCGTTGTAGCCCAGCTGCTTCGTCGTGTTGAAGACGTACGCGTCGTTGACCTCTTCGATGGCCCAACCCCACATGACGCGACGGTTCTCCTTGGTGTCGTTCCATGTTGCCTGTGCGTAGGCCATGCCCCAGTCCAGCGCGCCGCCCGAGTTGGGCGCAAATGCGACTGAACCATTCTCCCGCGCCGACACCTCGCCGCGGTTCCACAACGCCCACTGCTCGCGCCAGTGCGTCGTCGTGTTGCCGCCCTCGGCTCCCGCTCCGAAGAACCACGCCTTGCCACCCGAAGGCGTGTCGAGCTCGAACAGGCTGCTGACCTCGAAGTTGTAGCCGTAGGAGCCCGTGACATCAGGGATACCGAGTGAGCTATTGGCGGCCGGCTCCCAAAGGGCACCGAGGAACTCCCATGCCTCGAGGTTCGACGCTGGCGCCGCATACAGTGGGATACGAGGTCCGAGGAATCCTGGGCGCTCGGCACCGGGAAGCGGGAAGGGAACATCACCACCTTTGAGACCAGAGCCAAGAACCATGTAATAATGCGGCTCGTCAACCGAGAGCAGCTCGTCGAGGAGGGTTGACGGGAAGAAGCTGGGATCACGCCAGCCGGTGACGTTCCAGCCATCCGGCGGGCCATCAAGCACAGTGCCAACCTCCTCCCAGGTGAGGCCGCCGTCGGAGGACGTGTAAAGGGCCTGGACCTCCGTGCCGTTGGTGTAGGGAATCTTCCAGTTGGTCGGGAGGAACTGGATGCCAGTAGCAAAGGTGAGAATAGTTCCATCCTGCTCACCCTGCAAGTTGACCGGCTGAGAGGTGCCGGTGAACTGTGACAGAGGGCCAGAGGGGTACTTGCCCGAGGCCAGGCTCACGGCCGAGTCATTGGCCCAGTCGCGGACATCGGTCCAGTGGAAAAGGTCCTTGGAGACGGCGTGTCCCCAGGAGATGTTGCCCCAGTTGACGTGGTTAGGGTGATACTGGTAGTGTAGGTGGTAAGTCTCTGTGGTCGGGTCGTAGAGAGGACCGCACGGATCATTCATCCATGAGTGAGGTGACATGTAATGCGAACGAGGGCGCCAGCGTGTGAATAGGGAGCTGTTGCCCAGACCCTCGAGGATGTCGGCCGTCAGCGTTGGATACTCGGCCGATAAGTCTTGTGCGAAGGCAGGAGTCGCCAAAGCTGCGAGGGATGTGATGGCCGTCACGGCCGAAGTAATCTTGAGTGCCGCCATGACGAAGATGTGATGCCGACTGCCAGGGTTACAGACGCCAATAGCTCAAGACTCACGCCAGCACCCTGTCCTTTGAGGCCATCGTGATCACTGCCATTTATACCTTATTTTCACCGACTCCCCCAGCGATCCCGAAAACAAGTTGGAAGAAAAGTCTCCACGGCCATGCCGATCGCTGCCTTCCAATGGAGACGTCAGCCAGGACACCATCCAACAGCAGGCCTCGCAGCCAAGGGCACGCCGGGCCCAGCGGGGAAAGCCTAATTAACGCACGCGGGGCATGCGCCAGCCTACCGGGCCATGCCATGTCACTCCGTCATGACGTCCACACGGGAATCATGGAAGGGGGAAGGGGGAAGGGGGGAGGGAATCCCGGGCACACCGGGGCGATCGGGGCTTGCGCTCAATTGACTTCATCGGGTGGCGCTTGTGGGGAGGGGCGAGACTACTGCATGACCGGCAGAGGCAGATGCGGAGAAGCTCTCTTGATCGCGCAAACCCTCGCCTCAACCGGGCGTCGAGACGAGCCAATCTGTCTGCCGGGGGAGCTAAGGGCGGGGGGCTCAAGACGGGTACAGCTCATGACGAAGGGGGCTTGCGGGGGAAGAGAGACAGAAAAGAAGGACGGGCGTGGAGAAGAAAGATGGAAGCACCGAATAATTTGACGAGCATCCACTGCATTCTGGGGCTACGGGCCTGCGCACTGGGGCTTCTTCAGGCCTCTTGCAGGTTTGTGGGATCATCAGAGGTTGGCGACCCGGCTTGGCTCGACGGGGATCGCTCCGTACTGGCCTCTTCAGCACACTCAGCACAGCTTTTTTACAGGCTTCAGTGGCTGCCCTAGACCGCAGTACTTGGCTGGACGACAGTGTCCCGAGTCATTGTGTTGCATTGATGGCAAGTTTGATGGACCAGGTTTGGTGGGCTGACATTCTTCCTTGCGATTAGACGTCTTCAGCAAACAGCGCCTGTCGTGTTCAAGTTGCGGTCTGCTTAGCAGCCCAACGTCAGATGAACACAAATGAGGAAGCACTCCTTGGTACAACATCGCCAACGGTTTATCATTGATTCGACATCGGCCGACTTGCTGGGTCGGATCACCACCTCAATGATTCTGCAAACCCTTCCATGAAGACATGACCCAGTTCGCCGTTGGATTCTTCTGCCGGCGATCACCAGGAGATGCCAAATTAACTGAAGGTTTTGACGTTTGAGATCTGAGATTACGGACATGCAAGTGCCTCTCCATTGTCCGTGGCCGGATCACGTGCGGCAACGACTGCCAACGAGGACCTGCACGCAAGCGCCGACATCATCTCATAGCCGCCGGCCACAAGCCATGGGTCGGCTGACTGGAGCCTGATCATATATCTGCTGGCATGCTCCGCTCGTCGAGGCCGGCCGGTTTAATTGCTTCGCTTTGCCTTCCTCCTCGACATAATACGATTCGTCAATTGTCTGAAGAACGTTCTGTTTCCAGAAACTGGCGACCACGTTCACCACCAATGGCAGACCGGCAACAGTATACCATCGGCTGGATCTCCGCCCTCTCCACTGAGTCCGTCGCCGCCCAAGCCCTGCTCGACGAAGAGCACCATGACATCCGCACCCGCCCTCAGAATGACAATAACAACTATACTCTGGGCCGGATTGGCCATCACAATGTTGTCATCGCCATACTGCCAGATGGCGAGTACGGGGCTGCCTCAGCAGCTGCAGTGGCTCGAGACATGCTACGAACTTTCCCGAATGTGCGTCTTGGCTTTCTAGTAGGCATCGGCAGCGGAGCGCCCAGCCTGAAGCAGGATATACGGCTTGGTGATGTCGTCGTCAGTAGTCGCTCCGGGGGAAGAGGCGGCGTGCTTCAATACGACTATGGCAAGGCCCTCCAAACAGGGAATGCCTCGTTCCAATACATGGACTTCCTGAATCAACCCCCAATGGCACTCCGGACGGCCGTCGCCGCGCTGAAGAGTAAGCATATAAGAAAAGGGCATCAGCTGAACGCTAAGGTCGAAGAAGCGCTGCAGAAGTGGCCGCGGCTGAAGCTCGAGTTTTCACGCCCACCACCAGAGAGTGACCGCCTCTATAAGTCTGATATCCTGCACGCAAATGCACGTCAGGACTGCGGGGCTGTGTGTGGCAGCGATCCAGCACTTCTAGTGAGCAGGGCGGAGCGCGGCGAGTATCAGGATGATCCTGCAATTCACTATGGGTTGATCGCGAGCGCGAACCGGCTAATGGAAGACGTGCGGGTTCGCGATCGATTGTCAGCCGAAAATGGCGTCCTTTGCTTTGAGATGGAAGCAGCCGGCTTGATGAACCACTTCCCATGCCTGGTGATCAAAGGCATCAGCGACTACGCCGACTCGCACAAGAGCAAGGAGTGGCAAGGCTTTGCAGCCATGACAGCGGCGGCCTATGCCAAAGAGCTTCTCTTGACCATCCCGCCCGATCAACCACGGCAGGAGACGCTGAGCTCTCAAGCGATTTCGGGTAAGTACATGGCGATGTGGAGATGCGGTTACACTTAGAATGCGTTTCACCTGACACCAAGGACAGACCCATTGCTTCATAAGATGGTTTTATACAACACGCGTGAAGCGTTAACTGGTAAAACGCATGAGCTGAACGTGCGGTTCGAGAACGGAAAGCGAATCGAATGTCCCAAAAGTCTCTGAGCATCCTACATGGGATACAACTACAGTCAAACCAGCCAGGTTGCGGGTACTTTGAGATGAGTGCAAAACAATATCAGAACATGTAGTGAAATCATGCTCGGCAATGAACTCGAGATCTCAATCGACCTCAGATGGGGAAACCACCTTGCAAACTATTTATCTCTCCCTTGCACAACTTTGGAGCACAAGTCACCAAGTACCGTAGGAACGCCAAAGAAGGTGCAGAACATCAACGCGGACTGTACGCTCAATTTATGCCAGCGCTTTCTCGCTGATCGACATAGCTCTTGGCTCATTATTGCCCTGTGAAACGGAGCGACTGATGCGAGAAAAGGGTTCGGTTGCATCATGAATCAAGGAGGCTCATAAACTGCTTTTTGTGAGGCTTGTATATGTCTGGGGTTTGGATGAGCTCCTCTAGCGAGAAAACCAGAAAGCTGGAGAGCTCGAGTAATTTACATACTAGATACACGGCATGTATGAAGTGATGCTATTACCGCACGTGTGAGAAGATTCATCTTTTTGTTGGAGCGAACCGCCAGTGCGACTTAAATGCTTCATGATAAGTCGTATCAAGTATCAGCGCTACATGACGTCCGGTACCGCTCCTAAGGATAGGCTGTTGATCTGCCTTGAAGAACGGCTGTATCCTTCTGTTAGTTTTCATGGCTAGTAGAGATCATGTTATTGGCAGTGATCCACGCTGACGGATTCGCAATACACGCTGCTAATATCAAGACCCAGATGTTAAATGTTTCAATCCAGTTAGCTCCTTAGACGGGTTCTGCAGTCTGGCACTCTCGAAGTTATTCGTTCGGTCTGCGGTGCTTTTTTGAAGTGACCTCTCCCCCAAAATCAAGTACGCCTCAGCATTCGATGTCCAATTCAACGTTCTCGTGGGCTCTGAACTCTCCCGCAGGATTAAGCAAATGTTGGGAGTGAGGAGGCTCATCTTCATCGGGGACGAAACCTGCTGGGTGCGTGTTGAAGGACGTCAGTGGATCCAATCGCGAATCGTGCAGTTCCAATGTTACCGAAGGCAACTATCCCGCGGGTGTACAACGCCTGATTCTGATTCAGGGGAAGTCGACATAGACTGAATTTATGCGGCCGATCCGGCCGGCCGATCAGCGCTTGTTCGAAGGGCCAGTTAAGCAACCCAGCTCGTAACGACCCCAGTCATCATATGTAATTCCCATGGTTGTCGCTACTATTATGACCATGATCGTGCAGTGAAAATACCATATGAGGGCTGACAGGCCGATGTTACCTTGGGGCCGGTGCAGTCAGCGCATTCGTTTCAGCTGCTACTCGCTGATGCATGCTTGCGCTGCGCCCCCAAGGCGGCCCCCAAAATAATTCGAGAAGAGCTGAACAGCTTCGGGTCTGAAATTGCCGTGCCTGATACAGAACGTGATCATAGCCTTACGATGCCAGACGTGGCCGCTTCAGCCCTACCCGTCATGACGAACGTCGAGTCGCCCTCGCTATAAAGCCAACGGGTGAAGGCTGTTCGACCTCGAATTCATTACCTAGCATCATCGCCCTCAAAGTACAACTCGCCCTCTCTTGCAAGTCTTGTCTTCTGCCTGAATCGGACGATACATCTTCCAAAGTTCTTTGCATTATACTCCTGTCGAAGATTTGAGTGCGATCGATCCAATGTATCGACTGGCCGTGTCGCTTCTTGCGCTAGCGAGCACCGGCCACGCTGCGGATTGTCTGCGGGACCAAGAACGCCAACACAGTGAACCATCGGGCGAGCAGATCGCCAAGGCAGTGGGTTTGCAGTCGGACCTAGAAAATATCTGCGCGGGGAATTGGAGAGTCAATGATGAAGAAAAGCTCACCAATTCGTTCAATCATTGGGGTAAGTTGGTGCTACTCACGCTGGGCAAATCAAGAAACCACTAACACCGTTCAGCGATCATATATACGGTGAAGCGCGAAGACAATACCAAGCCCCTGCAGCATTGCATGGCAGCATTCAACAACATTCTCGATCAGTGCGTGAGCAATGGCAACTATTGGGGCGGCACCTGGAGCCACGAGGGCGAGACCTACTCCATTTCCAACAGCGTTAGCCCGGAGAACGGCCTGGCTCCGACGGATGAGGGCGGCCCCGATGTGGACTCCGGGCCCCATCACGGCGGCGCCGGAGCCTTCCGCTTCGGCGACGGCGTTCGCTACCACTACGGCAACCATCGAGGGACTGACCACCCATTCCCAGACAACCACAACTGCTGGCGATCATGCTACTGTCCTACCGATTTGGTTCGTTGCTGCAGGTGTCGGCATCATTCTCATCCCGGGACCTGGTGTGTTGCCAGGCGTACTCGTCCCGCCTCCACCTGGATTACCTCCCCTGATCATTGGTCGGACGCAAAGCTCACGCCGATGAGAATGGTGACGGCCGATGGAGACGACGACGATGACGATGATGACGAAGAATCTTCGT